GCAGCAGCGGCGCAGCGTGGGGCAAATGGCGGCGGCGCGTGGCAGCAGCAGCAGCAGGAGGAGGCCAGTGGCGGCACGACAGGGCGCGCGCGTGCGCAGGCGAGCGGCGAGGCCGCACGGGGCGCGCTCAAGTGCGAGCAGCCACGGCCAGGAGGTTGCAGGCGCGACACTCGGCAGGTAGCAGGAGTGGACGGCGGTCGCGGCAAGAGCGGGGCGAGCGCGAGCGCGAGCTCGGTCGCGGCGGCGGATCCGAGGGAGTGAGGAGGGGCGAGGGCGTCCTGCGGGGCTGGCGGCTTGCATCGAGCGCGGGCATGCAGGAGGAGGGGATCGAACAGGGGCGCCCCTCCCCTGTTCGTCAGCGCGTGCGTGTGGGTGACTGCGCGCAGGGGGGAATGAGGGAGATCGACGGAGTGGGGGTGCGAGGGTTCGGGACGTCCTGCTCCGGTGGCCGGCCGGCGGCGAGGCGAGGAGGAGGCCGTGGCGAGGCGGGGGTTACGGGAGACGAACGAGCTCGGGCTCGAGGGGCTCCTCTCCTTAATCCAGATCGGGCGTCGCCGCGCGTGAGGACGAAGGAGGTGCGAGGGGATTTCTGCAAAAGAAATGCCACATCGGCAGCTGACATGCAGGCCCCGCCGGTCAGATACACCGTCAATACGCATTTATACGCGATTTAGACCTTTTTGTAACGTGTAGCCCCAAACTTGGTACTGACATGTAAAAATTATCAAACTTAGTACCAATCTGCTTCCAATACTTCAATTGTGGTACTTCTGTGTAATTTACTCCATGCGCTCGGTCACCGAGGCGGTCAGGCAGAACAGCGGTCGCGTCCGTCCGCTACCGGCAGGCACCCGTGGCGCCGCGGTGGGGCGCCGACGCCGGTGCCCCGCCCACGTGACGCGCCGATGATATGCACGTTCCCGGCAACGCGACAACAGTGGCGGGCAGTGAGGCCGTTCCGCCACGCCGCTGCTCGCTGCTCGCTGCGTGGCCTGCGCCGCTGACCGTAGACTCGGCACACGCGCCCACTCGTGTGTGGGCCCACATGGCAGACGACCCCACCCCCCGACGCCCTGGACCCTGTCCACGGGTCCCCATGCTCCAGGCCTCCGCTATACTAGATCAGAGCGCCCGCTTCTGGTGCGTGGACTGGGTGCACCCCACCCCTCTGAGACGCTGCGCGCGCCTCGTGAACCACCACCATCATCGAGCAGTTACCCAGTCTCCCAACTCACCAGTCAGTTCAGTCCACCACCCCACCCCCCTCCCCACCTCTCTA